TTGTGCCCTGTGAATTTGCAGGCCTGTGCCAGGCTGAGCCCCGTGCAGCCAATGCTGAGGTCTTTTTTTCTTCCTTCCATACAGAACAATAGCCAGGTGCAGCTGCTCTCCATACTGCTCTTCCAAACATTGGTGACTCATCCAGAAAGGGAAAAGACAAAAAAGGCCCTGAAGACACCCCTGCACCAGAGCCTGCTGCCCCTCGTCCTCCACTGCCATGATGAGAAGCGGCTTGTGGCACACGTGAGGACTGGTGGGCTGCTGCTGTCCTCCTGGCAGGGGGCTCAGCTGCCTCCTGCCCTGGCACCTGCCGGGCTGCAGCCTCCTCCAGACCTTGGCACAGGGACGCAGGTCCTGCACCCTGGGGTGTGGGGCCATCTCTGCATCTCTGCTGCTCTCCAGGCTTCTCAGGAAACGCTGCTTTGTGTGGCTGAGTTCCTGAAGAGAAAGGAACTAGAAAGACTGGTGAAGAACCAGAATCTGTGGAAGTTCAGCGAGTGCCTGGTAAGGACAGCCTGCAAGCCCCAGCCACAGCCCGGAGAAGCCCCCTGAGCGCGGTGCTCAGTGTGCGGGCCGGGCAGCTGTGGCTCTGCCCGGTGCTGCACCCAGAGGCCACGCAGGCTCCTCTCCAGGCTCCCGATGGAGCCCCGGCCTGGCGGGGCAGGTGCGGCACCGCAGCTCCCCGGGCAGCAGCCGGCCCTCTGTCCCCTGCCCTCGGAAGCCCTTGGCCAGCGGCTGCTAGCCGCGCCAGGGCTGTGCGGGCAGGGGAGGCCGGGGCTGGATGCAGGCAGCGCCCGGCCCAGGGGCTGAGCCCGCGCCAACCCTTCCCTCCTGCTGCTCTCTGCAGCTGGCAGAGGACAGGAGCCGAGCGGTTGAGCACCTGCGCCGGGCCCTGCGCTACCTGGAGAGCCCACAGGAGTCCCTGCGAGAGGCGGCCATCAGGTTCATGGGTGAGTCCCAAGCCCGGGCTCCTCCCCGGCCCGCCACAGCTCGGCCCCAGCCCCGCCTGCTCCCCCGGCAGCGCCAGCCGGGCCCGGCGCCGTGAAGCCCCGCCTGGCCCGGGCATTGATGCTGCCGCCCTCTGGCAGCCGTGCCCTGGGGCGGCAGCGTGCGGCAAGGGCCGGGCTGAGCCCTGCCTGGCCAGCAGGGCGTGTGGCCACAGCGCCGGCAGCGCCGCTGGCAGGGAGCTGTGCCGCTGGGGCCGTGACAGACTCTGTGTTCACAGGCATGGCCGCGCGGCACCTGAGGGGGAAGAAGGAAGAGCTCCGGCTCATCTGCAACGGTGAGTGAGGGCAGCGGGCTGACAGCGGGGGCTGCCGGGGGAGCTGCAAGCCCTGCCCCGGCTGCAGAGGGCTCTGCTCCTTGTGCGGACATGGGGCGGCGTGGGCAGAGCACACAGAGATTTCAGGGCCACCTGGGCGATTCGTGGTCAGCAGCTTCGGGCTGCTCCCGTTGGTCCCTGCTCCCTCCTGGCCATGGCTAGAGCCGGCTGGGATGGCCCTGGCAGGGGGCTCTCCTCGGCTCCCCGCAGATCCAGGATCTGACCATGGCTCTGTTCCTTTCTCTTTCAGCCCTGGAACACCTGACAGAGGACATCAGCAGTGCCGTGTCGGACGTGGCACTTGAAACATTGTATGTCCTCCAGGCACTGCAGAGTGAACCTTATTCCATCTCCCAGAGGGTGCAAGATCATCTCCAATGGGCATGGAGGACACGGCCTCGTCTGTCGGGGCTCGGCTGGCCGCGCTGCTGGAGCTCTGCAGAGAGCTGATCCCAGAGGCTCTGTCTGCTGGGGCCACCTGAGCCAGTGGGAATTTTCCATTTCCTTAAGATTGTTCTTTATCTTTTCTTCTTTTTGTTTTTTCTTTAGTGTATGAATATAGAGTGTGTTATAATACACAGACTCCCAGGAGCTTTCTTTTGCTGCCCAGGGTCTGCAGAGCATAGGGGAAGAGGGGGAAAAGGGTGCTTGTGCTCAGCAAACTGCCCAGGCGTGCAGTGTTGCAGGGGAAATGGTCAGAAGCCCCTTGGCCTGTGGTGGTTCTGCTGAAGCCTTTGTGCTGATGACAGAGCGGGTGGGCAGGGGCCGGGGCTGCGGGGATCCCTGCCAGAGCGGTGCCTGGAGATGGCCACAAGCCCTGTGCCAGGCAGGAAGCGCCATCCGTGTCCTCCTGCCTGTGTGCTGCTGGCTGCCTTGCTGAGGGCTCCCAGGCGCCTCTGGATGGGGCTGCTCTGGAGCTGCTGTGGGGCTGCGGCGCTGCTGCTGGGCAGCTTGGCCAGGCTGGGGCAGAGCCTGAGGGGACGGGGCCAGGAAGGGATGAGGGGCTGGGAAGCCCTGACAGGACACGGCAGTGTGAAGGCACGAGGGGGATGTGTGAGGGAGTGGGTGGCTGTAGCGTTGGCTGGGGGGGAGTGGGTTGGAGACAGAGTGAGCACTTACCCGATGTTCACGTGGCAAACAGAGAGCGTTCATTCTCAAGTCCTTCCTTCTAAAGGGCTTTTGAAAAACCCAGTCTGGATAATTTCATTGCTCTGATCTCTATGCCTTGTCAGATTCTGGCCAGTGAAATGCTGCAGTCCTGGGGGATTTGTGACTGGGCGAGGCCCCTGGCAGTCAAACCAGGGCTGGTACATTCACACAGCACGAGCCAACCTGCCCTGTGACATAACGGCAACAGAGTGCAAGGCACAGCTCCGGGTGCCCCCCAGGATCCTCAGCTCTGGGAGCAGTGTCTGCCCCAAGCTCCAGGGGCTGCAGTGGGAGCCCGGCTGGGCTCTGCCCTGGGGCCATCCTGCAGGAACAGCTGGGAACAGGGAGCATTCCCTTGCCACAAACAGCCAAGCCAGGGCTGCAGGGCAGCTGCTCCAGCCCAGACTGCACTGTTGTGTGCTGTGCTCTGGGGCTGGGGCTCCCTGTGCAGGCCACTGGGCTGGTGTGCCACAGGAGACAGAGAAGCTTCAGCTTCAGCCTAACTGAGGTGGGTGCGTGGGCTGGGAAGAGGGGGGAGGCTCAAGGGGATTCACAGAGCTCATCCTGCTGCAAGGACGAGGAAAAGGGAGTGGGAGCTCAGCAGTGAGGAGAGCTGAGGGCTGGAGAGGGGCTCTGAATGACACTAAAATCCCACTGGACCTCTGAGACATTGCTGCTCCTCAGCCAGTGACAGGATGAGTCCCTAAGCCTGGGGCTCTGCCTTCCTTGTGGAGAGGGGCACCAAGGAAGGCAGCAGTGTGATGGAGACTGCAATGGGCTGGAAACTCACTGCGGAAAAAGAGGGAGCAGTTGGGAAGTAAAAGGAGGGTGGGAGAGAGAACTGTTCAGAGAAGGGCTGAGCTACAGCTTGAGCAAACTGAGAAATGTCATTTGGGGTCATGCCAGATTGATTTAATTTCAGAAGTTATTGAACAATTTTTTTTTTGGGGGGGGGGTGTCATGTTTTCCCTTGGAGGTGTACACTCTGCAAACTTGAACTGTGCTGCCAAAATGCTCAAGCAAGTCTGTGCTGCAGGTCACACCATTTCTTCTTTGGCTGATTCCGGTCTGGTGCTGAGCTCCAGCAGAGCCCTGGCACAGCCCAGAGCAGCCTCAGCACCTGCCGAGCCCAGCTGCAAGGAGAGAAAGCAGAAACCGCCCATCAGCTGAGGGCTCCTGTGCCCTTGTCCCAGCCGCCCGCAGTGCCCAGGCCATGCTGGCCATGCTCAGAGCGGTGCCCAGAGCTGCCCATCCCTGCTGCCTTTGGCACAGAGCAGGAGGGCAGGACATGTGCCCAGCCTGCAGCCAGCCAGGGCACATCCACTTCCTCAGTAGCTGCCCAGAGCAGGATGCTCCTGTGCTCACTGCCATCTCCCAAAAGCTCTGATCCCAACATGCCAAACAGACGGGGACCCACCTCACGCCATCCCCCACTGGAAGAAAAGCTGGTCCCCAATGATGTCTTCAGCCATCCACGCCACAGCTGGTCCCAAACACCTCCTGATCCAGACTGGAGCCCACCTAGAGTGCTTCCTCTAGGAAAACAAACAACAAATTCTTGAAAATACATTACAGACAAAAGAGGGAAACAAGCTCAAAAATCTTATCACTATCAGGGGCTTGAGGAAGGCCCAACCCCTGCATGCCAGGGAAAAACCCACCCACGGATGAGGGAAGCCCAGGCTTTCTCCCTTCCCCCCTGCACTCCCCCCCACAAAAACGGTGACCCCAAACCAAACAAGGGCAGTGGAGCAGCCCAAGCCTGCACAGCAAAGCAGCTGTGCACAGGTTCTGGAGCCCCACCTCTGCTCCCACCATGGGGCTTTGTTTGTGTCGGGCTGGCTGCCCCAGCCCCAGCCCGGGGCACGGTGGGTGCTGGGGGCTGTTGGCGGGGCCAGGAGCCCACTCCCATTTCGTACCCACCCCAGCCCATCCCCCCAGCCCTGCCAAAAGCAGCTGGGCAGCGACTGAAGAATGTATTGCATCCGGCCCAGCAAAGGGGGAACCTTTGGTTCCCGGCCAGGCTGGGCCATGCCCAAATCTGGGAGCATCCCCCTGTGTGTGGACTCATCTGCAAATCTGCTGTGGAGCCTGACTTTGAAGAAGGTGCCACAATCCAAGTCCATCATCTTCAGCTGGCCAGTGGCCAGGTCCAGGAAGAGGTTGTCATCCTTGATGTCATCCTCACTGTCTCCAGCAGCAGCAGCAGCAGCATCCCCACCGGGTACAGCTTCTCCAGGGGCTCCTTCTCCTTCCCTGGGGTGAGACCAGGCTCTCAGGGTTCAGCCCAGGGCCCAGCTGTCAGGGAACCAGGACAAGCAAAACCAGCCTGGATGGCAGCCAGTAGTGCTGGGCAGAGCAGCTCAGCTCCAGCACAAGGGCTGCATGTTCCCATCTGATGAGCCCTGGGCAGTGACACAGGCAGGACTAAAAACTCTGGGTAACTTTGGTTCTCATTGCCAAGGCATGTGTGGAACTGGAACTTACCAGGGCCCTGCATCACAGTGTGCCTGTGGCTCTCTCCCTTCTTCTAGGGCAGATGAATATCCTGCATCCAAGGATGACAGAGCAGCTCTTCTAATGAGGGCCTTTCCAAATCCAGCATGGATAAACACCGCCTGATCAGATCTTGGCACTCTGGGCAGAGAAACCAGAAACTACCGGGCAGTTGGAGAAGGCTCCTTTTGGCTTTGCCCCACTGTTCCCGTGCCCAGGCTTTACTGGATGTGCTCAGAGATGGGTCTAAACTCTCCCATCAATTCCCTGTTTTGGAGGAGAGCAGGAGAGCAGGACATGTGCCACCTCCTCAGCAGCTGCCACAGTGGGATGCCCACAAGCCCGCTGCTGTGTCCCAGCACTGGGATTCCACCTGTGCCCAGAGATGAGGATCCACCTTGAGAGAGCCCTTGTGGCAGCGAGAGCTGATGGTCCCAGCTGATGTTCTGGCCCCTGCTGAAAGGGTGCTCCGTGCAGAGCATCTGGTGCAGCAGGATGCACCGGGACCAGATGTTAGCTGGTTTGCCATAGTACCAGCCAAAGTGGGTCCATTCTGGGGGGCTGTATGACCGTGTTCCTATGGAATACAGATGGAATTCATCAGGGGGATGCTGCTGCTTCCAGAGCCTGGCCCCAGCATCCCTGGGTGTGCGGGGGCTGCCCCAGTGGCACACAGGGTGACCCATTGCCCTCTCACCAGCACCTGGGACTTGTGTACAGGCTTGGGGTTGGAAAAGAAGCCACTGGTGCTGGAAGAGGGCAGTGAAAGCCCTGGCAAGGCCTGACCATTACAAGGAAGAATCCACTCAGTGCTGGGAAAAACCATGCCCTCATCCTCCCTGCCTGCATTATGAACTCAAAGCAAATCAAGTGAGTTGAGCAGTCCAAGCCCTTTCTCACCTGCACATCAAACCGGCTGGGCACAGGTTCCGGTCCCCCCCTCTCTGCTACCAACACCCACGGGTGTTTTTGTTGGGCTGGCTGCCCCAGCGCCAGCCCCAGTTCTGGGCAGAGTGGTGGGCAAAGGCTGCCACCACAGCTGGAAGGTGGCTCCCCACTCAGCCCTGCTCAAAAGAAACTCAGCTGAAATCTCAGTGCCATGAAGGGCAGCAAAAGAGCTGCCACACCCAGCTTGGGCTGTGAGATCTAGGGTCATGAGATGCTGGGACCAGGAGCTTACCCCTGCGTGGGCTCACCTGCAAAGTGAGTGTAGGCTGTCTCTTGCAGGTAGGTGCCACAGCCAAAGTCAATCAATTTGGCCTGCCCGGTGTCCAGGTCAATCAGGATGTTCCCTGGTTTGATGTCGCGTTGCAGGACCCTGCAGCTGGTGCAGTGCCACACGGCCTCCAGCACCTGGCGGAACAGCTCCTGCGCCACCTCCTCCGGCAGGAGCCCCCATGCCCCAATGAAATGCTGCAGGTCCTGAGAGCGCTCCGGGCGCTCCAGCACCATCAAGATGTCCTTGGGGAGCTCAAGCCACTCCCGCAGCTGGACCACACCAGGGAAGCCAGTGGACACCTTGGCCAGCAGCACCATCTCCAGGGCTGCGCTGGTGCCGTCGGGCTGCGGGAGAAGCACGATGCCGTCAGTGGGGCCGATGCCGTGCCGGGCCTGGGGAAGCCCTCAGCCAGCCCGGGATGCTCTGCGCCCTGCGCTGGCCCCACGCCCGCTCTCCCTCGGGGCGTCCTGGCGGCTCCCACCCTGCCGGGCCCCGGCTCATCCCTGGCCGGTAGCCCCGGCTGCTGGCCCCGCTCACTCACCAGCTCGCCCCAGTGCCGGACACGCTTCCGTGGCACCCTTTTCATGGCAACCTGCAAGCCAAGGGCAGCAGCGGGGTGAGCTCGCCGCCAGCCCTGCCCAGCCCCATCCTCCGCCCTCCTGCGCCCTCCTCCTCCTCCTCCTGCGCCCGCCGCCGGCCCCGCCGCTCACCGGGGCGCCGTCCGAGAGCCGCGTGGCCGCGAAGACGCTGCCGAAGCCGCCGCGCCCCAGCAGCGAGCCCAGCCTGTCCTGCTCCTTCAGTCCCTGCTGCGCCTTCCCTGCTGGCGGGACGCGGCTGTCAGCGCCCGGCCCGGGGCCAGCAACGGCCCCCGAGCGCCCCTGACCCGCCCCGGGCCGGCCATGCCCAGGCGTTCGCTCACGGGAACAGGACAGCGGCGGCTCGGGGCCGGCGGCCGCGCTGCCGAGCGGCAGAGCTCGGGCCGGGGAAGCCGCAGCGGAGGCGGCGGGAGCGGCGGCGCCGCGTGTGTCTTCCGCGAGCCCGGGAGGAGCCGGGGCCGGGACCGGAGCTGGGGCAGGGGCAGGGCTCGGGCCGGGCGGAGCCAAAGGGAGGCGATGCCGCCCCAGCCCCGGGCACTGATGCCCGCCCAGCAGCGCCACCGCCAGCACGGCCAGAGCCGGGCGGAGGTGAGACCGCGGCGGGACACCTGGGGCCGGGCACGGGGCAGCCCCGTCCGGTGCCGGGGGCGGGCCGTGGGTATGGGGAGAGAGAGACTGGGAGAGAAGGGGACACCGGGAAAGGGAGAGCGGGAGAGGATGCGGCACTGCGGAAGAGGGAGAGGAGAAGCGAGAGAGAGTCGACAAAGGCGCTTCTTTCGCTGCTTTCGCTGCCGCTGCTGCTGGCTGCTGCTGCTGGAACTGAAGCTCTGGGGCTGTTTGTCCCCGTGTCCGTTTGTCCATTGCCCGCTTGCCCCCGTGCCGAGCCCCGAGCTCCCCGGGAGCAGCCCCTGAGCCTGTCCAAACAGGGGAACTTTGCCGAGTTCAGACAAGACCCAGAGCCTGGACTCCTGCACAGTGGCACAGGAATCCCCTCGGTCGTTGCTGTGCATTGTCCCTGCAGAGGGTCAAACACTATTGGAGCGCATTCCCTGAATGCAGAATTTGTACCTGACGAAGCACTGCATTTACCTGACCAGCACTGCTTTCCAAAAAAATAAAAAAAGCAGTGGAAGGCAAACTCTGTATAGCTTATGGTATTTTACAGTGTCTAAAACATGCCAAGTCATGGATCTTAGAGGTGAGATCCATTTGGAATTAATGGGATGGAGAAGTAGTGCAAAGGGAAGCATAAAAACAAAGAGAGTAAAACATCTCAGATTGTTTCTTTCTGTTTTCATTTCATTTCCTAAAAACTGTTTCAGTTCTTCCAGAATCTTGTCCACAGTCCTGTTTGTTCTTTCCAAGAACCTTTCCTGGAGAACGAGGTGCAGCTTCTGTCACAAGATGTGCCAACAACTGCAGCTGCTTTTGGCTTTCCACACCATGCGTGCAGCACGACTCTTGCAGCAAAGCAGGAGAAATGTTTGAGGAACTTTACAGCTTGTTCTTCCTTTTCTTTGTGGGCTGGGCAGTGGTGCCAGTGGTAAGGTTTTCATTGTTACAATTCTACCCTAAGAAAACATGACAGATTACCAGGAATTGTTAGGGAATGTAAGCCTGACTGAATGCAGAGAAAGAATCTCCAGAGCCTGCAGCCAGAAATGGAGGGCTGTGTGATAATCATTCCAACACCCCCATGGACATCTGAAAGTGGTCTAGAAGATGAAAATGGGCTGACACAGGGAATTAGTTTCAGTGTTCAGTTCAGATGTTTCTACATCTCATGCATTGATATAAATCAGGAGTACAATCAGTTCATGAAAGGCACCAGAACAAGCTGGACCTCTCAGGAGATGACTGAAAGAATCTGAAAAGGAGAAATGCAAGGAATGACTTAGTGAGCTTTGCTTGTACAAAGGGTCATTTTTCCTAATAATTTCCAGTCCATTCCCTCTGCTTTTGTCCTTCCCAACAAGGCCATTTTCATCCCATATTCTCCATGGTGTGAGAGACCTGAGCTTGTGGAAGTGCCTGAAAGATGCCCTGTTCCTCTGCAGGGACACTGAGGCTGAAGCAGGAGCCTGAGCCCTCTCTGGGGCAGCCTCCTCCGAGCTGGAATTTGTGCCGTGCTGGGAGAGGAGGAGGAGGGGGAGAGCGCTGGCGCTGTGTGGCAGGAGCAGGAGGTTTGGGCTGCAGGACATTCCGTCTGCGCCGCTGCCCTGCAATGGGCGGCCGTGCCCGGGGCTCTGGGCCTGGCCCCGCGTGTGCTGAGCTCCCGACACTGCGGGAGCTCCCCGGGCTGGGCTCAGCTTCCGGCTGGGCCTGGGCAGCAGGCTGGGCTCCAGCTGGGATCAGCAGCAGCTGGAAATACCTCTGCGCATCTCCATTTGCTGCTGCTGCTCGGGAGAAACAATGGAGGGAGTCAAGAAATTCTGGTTTCTCTTTCTCCTGGTGGATTTTTTCATTTGATTAGACACTCAAGAGGCAATTTCTGTGATGGCCTCTGTCAGTTGATTCTATTTCAGCAGCAGCAGCAGGGCTGTGTTTGAGCATGGCAAATGTGGCCTGTGTGGCTGCTTTAATTCTCCTTGACTTAGTGCTCAGGGACTTGAGAGCATTTCAAGATCTCCTAATCATGATGCCTGGGACCAAAAGCCTGAGTTCACCTATTGCCGTCCAGGGGCTATGTACAAATCACCAACAGGATGGGACTGCTGAGGAACGTGTCTCAAGCTGTTTATTTTCCAGCATCAGTCTCATTGCATGGTTATGAGAATGGCATGATGCCAGCAGCTTGTGTCCTCGGCAGCAGACGAACAACTCAATGTTACAACTTACTTTAAAATATTTTTAACTAGTCCCACAAATCAAAAGCATATTGACAGTAGTTCTATCCAACCACTATAAGCACAGGTACCTTTGGTTAAAACAATGCTTGCTTATTTTGAATACAATACTTGCTTGTGAGTCTTGAAACACAATGCACAGAGCTCAAGCTTAGAACTTCCTAATATCTCGCTAGATATACTTTTCTGTTGCTTAGGGAGTTATTCTACCAGGTGTTAATACAAAAACCGTTGTTTTGTTTCTCCTTACTTTCTACTTCTAATATAACTTTTCTGCTGACAAATCTTAAGGCTTCCGCTTAGCTCTAATCACAGTTCTGCTGTCTCTGAGGCCTGCCTTTTGCAGCTTTCCCAAAACCCTCTGATTTTTAGGATTCCCACATTCACCATCACGAAAGCACTCTGGGTAGCGCTGATCCAAAAAGGCAATTGCAGTTTAACAGATAAATTTCAAGTGGCAAGAGCAGCCATGATCTCCAATTCCCAAGGCAAAGGCAGCAGCAGCCTCCTGCTGTCAGCTCAGGGTGAGTAAAACAGTGCTGAAAACAGGGCTGGAATCCGATCCTTTCTTCCTCTGAGGGCTGGCTCAGGGCAGCACAGACAGGCCCTGAGGAGTCAGGGCTATGTGTGGGTGATTGCTGCTCTAGTCCAGAACTGAGCTGGAAAAAGCCCTTGGGAGCTGAGGCAGGAGCAGGTGGGAAGGGGCCGGCGCTGCTGCTGCTCCTGGCTGGGAGCCCCGGCTGGGCCGGGCCGGCGCCCCCTGCGCTGCGGCTGCTGCTGCTGCCAGGGCCAGGCGGGACTCGGGGATAGGGAACGGACACAGGGGGACAGCAAAGGCCTGGCGGCTGCAGGGATGGTGGCGCTCGAGCCAGCGCCAGCACAGAGCTTCAGCCCGCAGTTAACCCTGAGGGAAACGCTGGGGAAAGGCTCCATTTCAGCCTTTCTTTACTTGTGGCTTTGAAGGGACTGAAATAAAAGGAGAACAAGCAGGGCCCGACCCCTTCTCCTTTGGAGGAGCCCCAGGCCTGGGGCTGTGAGGGGCCATGAAGGGCTGTGAGGGGCTATGATGAAACTCTGAGGGGTTTTAAGGGGCTATGAGGAGATTTGAGGGGCCATGAGGTTCTCTGAGAGGCCATGAAAGGCTGTTGGGGACCTTGAGGGGGAGAAGGTGTCTGAGAGGCTGTGGGAGGCCAGGCACCTTATGGAACAAAGAGTCACTTATGACACTATGGAGATAAGGAGACTGTTGTTTGCAGTATGGAACCCGATGGAACCAAAAGTCCATAGTGACATTCTGGGGCCTCATGGAACCATGGAGACCCTTATGACACTTCCGGACCCACTGGAACCAAGGGGCCATTGTCATACTGCAGGCCCTCATTTAACCAAGGGCTCATTGTAGCATGGCAGGGCCTCATGGAATCAAGGGGATCATATTGGGACTCCATGAGACCACGGGGACATTCTGACTCTGGGGAACCAAAGAGACCATTGTGACACTGCAGTGCTCAGTGGAACTAAGAACTCATGTGACAGTGAATAGCCCAGTGGAATCAAGAGGCCATTCCATACTTCAGGGCTTCATGGAACTAAGGTGCCCTTTTGACATTGCGAGGCCTCATGGAAGCCTGGAGATCATTCTGGCACTTTAAGGCCATGTTGAGTCTATGGGCTCTGCAGGGCCTTGTGGAACCAAGGAGCTCTTTATGACACTACAGGGACTCATGGAAACAATGAGGCCATTCTGGCTCTCTGAGTCCCCATGGCACCAAGGGGCCTGTGTGCCGCAGCCATGCCCTGGGGAACCAAGGGTCCGTTGTGATCCTGGGGAGCCCAATAGAACCAAGGAGCCATTGTGCCATTGCGCTATTCTGTAGAATGAAATAAAACATTTTGACACTGTAAGGCCTCATGGAAGCAAGGGGCCATTGTGCCACTGCAGAGTCAAGGCGACCATTGCGGTATTGCTGGCCCTTGTGGAAACAAAGATCTCTTGTGATACTATGGGGCCTCCAAGGGGCAATTGTGATGCTGCAGGGCCCCAGGGATCCAAGAGCATGGAAAAGTTCTGGTTGGTTTGGCCTGACTGGTTGGTTTGGCTTGACCTTGGAATGTTGAGGGTTGCTTCTCATCTAGCCCTGGAGTTCTGTGCTTTCCTTCCTGTGGGAAAGAATTCTCCTTCTCCCGGGATTCATGGCTGAAATTGGGATTCTACCTCCATATTTGATTATATCCAAAGATTGTTCCACATGAAACCTGCCAGAACAGACACCTCTGGATGGCCTTGGCATCTTGGGGGCCACCTCTCATCTGCCTTCAAAACGTTGAGCGGCCAAGCTCTTCTTTCCATGGAAAAAACATCTTTCAAGTCCAGATGTCCATAGCCAAAATTGGGAATTTGCCTCCAAAATTCTTTATATCCATGGACAGCTCCCAGACAAAAGCAGCCAGGACTGTCTAGGTTCCCTTGGCTTCCTGAGGGCCAGCTCTCATCTGCCTGTGAAACACTGGGGCTCTATACTTTCCTTCCTATGGAAAAGAACTGTCCTTCTTGTCCAGGTGCCCATGGACAAAACGGGGATTTGGCCTCCCAAACTCTGTCTACCCAAGGATTGCTCCCAGACAAATGTTCCCAGGACAAACAGGTCTGGCTGGCCTTGGCCTCTGGTGACTGCCTCTGATCTGCCTTCAAAACTCTGTGGGCTCTGTGGTTTCCTTCCTGTAGAAAAGAACTGTCCTTCTTGTCCAGGCACCCATGGCCTCAAGCACATGAGCACTGTACAGGGACAGAGGAGCTCTGTGCTCAGTGGCGTGGAGACTGAGGAGAAC